TGTGAACATCTATAAAACTTACACCCAACATTAATGGAAGTAAAGCAGTGGCTGGAAGTTTTGTGGATTTCTTGGCTGGCAGGGCAGAAATTGAAATAAACAAATAAACAAACATTCTCTTCTTAATATAAACTTCATGGCAGTTTCCAGCCAAAAGCAACACAAAAATTAACCATGAAAATAATTCACATAGGCCGAAGCCGGTTTGGCTCAGTGGTAGAGCGTCGGTCTGCGGACTGAAAGGTCCCAGGTTCGATTCCGGGCAAGGACATGTACGTTGGTTGTGGGCACATCCCCGGTAGGGGGTGTGCAAGAGGCACCTGGTCAATGTTTCTCTCTCATCGATGTTTCTAGCTCTCTATCTCTCTCCCTTCCTCTCTGTAAAAAAAATCAATAAAATATATATATATTTTTTAAAGAAAATAATTCACATAGGACTCTTCAGTGAACTGTAAGTAAAAATGTATGGCAAATACTTATTAACTAAAACAGTAAATTTCAAGTGCAATTCAAAAATTAAAAAAGAACACATATGATTCATTCAATACCTGTCAGGGCACATTACTGGGTAGCTGAGTCAATCCCTGGTCAGGCACATGGGAAGACAACCCATCTATGTTTCTCTCTCATATGGATTTTCCTCTCTACACATCTCTCTCTCCCTTCCTCACTTCAAAAAAGCAATTAAAAAACGATAAAAATGGAATACTGATAATAATCAAATATGTCAAAAGATCATAGCATTTCCTGAATAGGACTCCAGAATCCTGGCATCACCTCAAAGGTGGGCCAGGAGCCCTGTCCCTCTCAGCAGTTGCATGAATGAGAGCAGAGGTTACCCATAGGGTGTTTCCTGAAATTCAATCCTGTTGTGTTCTCCCCAGACCTCTCAGTTCTTTATAAGAACCCCAAGGGGGAGAAAGGAAGCACATGCAGCGCTCCAAGTTCAGGACAGTTTAACATCCTCCCAGCATGAAAAAACTTTTCATTTTATTTATATTTTTATTGATTTCAGAGGGGATGTGAGAGAGAAAAAGAAACATCTATGATGAGAATCATTGATCAACTGCCTCCTGCATGCTGCCTACTGAGAATGGAGCCCACAACTGGGGTAATGTATGCTTGACTGGAATTGAACTCAGGGCACCTTGGTCACAGGACAATGTTCTTGCCACTGAGGCAAAACAGCTAGGGTCACTTTTGTTATTTTACATTGTTTTTAATATTTGTACTTTTTTTTTTTTCTAGAGCAATTATGAGTTTTTACAAATAGTTATACCACCAAGATGGAAAAGATTCCATCAATTCAAAGAAACACAATCGTGGTGTCTGTTTCTATGGATTTACGAAAGGTTCCTCTAAACGTTTATGTTTTTTTCTTTTCTTTTTTAAATGTTTTTTAATTGATTTCAGAGAGGAAGGAAAAAGGAAAAATAGAAACCTCAATGATGAAAGAGAATCATTGATTAGCCGATTCCTGCACGCCCTCTGATGAGGATCAAGTCTGCATGCCAGGCATGTGATCTGACTGGGAATCAAACCATGACCTCCTGCCGAAACCAGTTTGGCTCAGTGGATAGAGCATTGGTCTGAGGACTGAAGGGTCCCAGGTTTGATTCCAGTCAAGGGCATGTACCTTGGTTGCAGGCACATCCCCAGTGGGGGGTGTGCAAGAGGCAGCTGGTTGATGTTTCTCTCTCATCGATGTTTCTAGCTCTCTATCCCTCTCCCTTCCTCTCTGTAAAAAAATCAATAAAATATATATTTTAAACAACAAAAACCATGACCTCCAGGTTCATAGGTTGACACTCAAATCACTGAGCCATACCACCCAGACCAAACCTTTACCTTTTCCAGAATAAGATGTAATGGATCACCATGTCATCTTTCACCCTGGCCGGGTACCTGGGTTGTTTACAGCATCATTCCAAAATGACAAGGTAGCAGGTTAAATCCCATGTCACACACAAAAATCAACCAATGAATTGTAGAAATAAGTAGAACAGAGTGCTGTTTCTCCATCTCTTTTTCATAAATTATTTTAAAAAGTAAAAAAAAAAAAAAAAAAAAAAAAAAAAGCTCTAGCTGGTTTGGCTCAGTGGAAAGCACATAGGACTGCACATTGAAGGATCCCAGCTTTGATTCCATTTAAGGGCACATGATGGGTTGCAGGCTTGATCCCCAGAAGGGGCATGCAGGAGGCAACTGATTAATGATTCTTTCTCATTGTTGATGTTTCTATCTCTCCCTTCCTCTCTGAAGTCAATAAAAGTACATTTAAAAATAAAAAGGAAGTCGAAACTGGTTTGGCTCAGTGGATAGAGCATAGGCCTGTGGACCGAAAGGTCGCAGGTTCGATTCCAGTCAAGGGCATGTACCTTGGCTGCGGGCACATTCCCAGTAGGAGGTATGCAAGAGGCAGCTGATTGATGATTCTATCTCATCTATGTTTCTAACACTCTATCCCTCTCTCTTCCTCTCTGTAAAAAAATCAGTAAAATATATTTTAAAAAGAAAATAAACGTGCTGTATAGGCTCTGGGTCCCTGTCTCTCAGAGGACAGTGGTCCCATCCAGTCCCAGCTTTCCCTACTGAAAATAAATAAATTAAATAAAAATAAAAAGGAAAAGGAAAAGAAAGTCATACTCTATCACTAAGAACAGCTTCTTTGGAAGAGAGACTCTAACTTCGATTTCTTGCTTGGTTTGTATACTTTGACAATATTCCTAAATTTATGAACTTCTGTTGATTCATAAAGGAGATAACTATTCCTAGAGTAAATGATTAGAAATTATAGATATATCACTTTTTGGCAAAACATCCCATACCCTCTAAGAAATATGTCAGTATTCAGATAACAAGAAAGGCAAAAGTTGTTTGAGACACTTGGTTAAAGGCCTTGCACTCCCTGCCAGCCCTAGATATACGTTATGAAAAAGAAAAGGTCACAGATGTCCATCATCACACAGAGCTACTCCATGACCAGGATGAATCAAAAAAGCAGCAGAGGCACTCATCTCTGTATACTTCAAGAAAAAGAACAGGCTTCCAAAGAATAAAAGTAACAAAATTCCCCTTTCCTCACCAATATGATTTCTGTTTCCTACAATTCAGGGTTAGTATGGCTTTATTTTTTCCTGCCTTTTAAATTAAAAATTACTATCACCACCCTATGTAGAATTAAGTTCATTTCCTCACAGAATACAATACAGAAAAGTGTCTGGCTTCCTTAATGGCAAATAAGTGACCTATCACCAGGCAAAATACAACAACAAACCCTTCTCAGTGTGCTGTTACTGTCACACCCACAGACATTTAGGGTTTATGGTCATTGTTATTATTTGAATTCATTCCATTTCTCTTTTACCACAGATTTGATTTTGTTGGTATTTGGCTGGAAGGGACAGACAAAAACATGATTGAATTTTTCAATATTTTGAACAAATAAGAAAGCATTCTGTGCCAAATAAGTATAAAAATTTCTAATTTCCCTGAGAAAACATGTTTGATTTTATACACACACAATACTTGTGACTCATATTGTATGATTAAGTGGAAAAGATTACATGTTGACAGTGGCTGCCAGGCTGGGAGCGGCCAGGCCCGGAGCAGCCGGGTCTGGTGCGGCCAGGCCAGGAGCAGCGGCTGACAGGCTGGGAGCAGCCAGGCCCAGAGCGGCCGGGCCCTGAGCAACCGGGCCCAGAGCAGCCGGGTCGGGTGTGGCCAGGTCTGTAGCAGCAACAGCCAAGTCCAGAGCAACTAGGTTGGGAGTGGCAGTGACCAGACCCGGAGCAGCAACTGCCAGGCTGGGAGCGGCCAGGCCCGGAACAGCCGGGTCTGGTGTGGCCAGGCCCGGAGCAGCGGCTGCCAGGCTGGGTGTGGCCAGGCTTGGAGCAGCGGCTGCCAGGCTGGGAGCGGCCAGGCTTGGAGCAGTGGCTGCCAGGCTGGGAGCAGCCAGGCTTGGAGCAGCGGCTGCCAGGCTGGGAGCGGCCAGGCCCAGAGCAGCGGCTGCCAGGCTTGGAGCAGCGGCTGCCAGGCTGGGAGCGGCCAGGCCCGGAGCAGCCGGGTCCGGTGCGGCCAGGCCCGGAGCAGCAGCTGCCAGGCTGGGTGCGGCCAGGCCCGAAGCAGCAGCTGCCAGGCTGGGAGCGGCCAAGCCCGAATCAGCCGGGTCTGGTGCGGCCAGGCCCGGAGAAGCAGCTGTCAGGCTGGGAGCAGCCAGGCCCGGAGCGGCTGGGCCCGGAGCAATTGGGCCCAGAGCAGCCGAGTCGGGTGTGGCCAGGCCTGTAGCAGCAACAGCCAAGTCCAGAGCAACTGGGTCAGGAACGGCAGTGACCAGACACGGAGCAGCTGGTTGTGGAACAAACCAGAGCAACAGAGGCCAGGCCCGGAGCAGCCTGGCCCAAAACAGCTCGCTCCTCACCTGCCCCTGCCCCACGGCTGCCTCTCAGACATGGCTGGAAACTTTTGCGGGAACTTGAGGGTCTGCTGAATCAAGTGATGAAGGCTTAGATCTGGATGTGTTGAGTTAGTATAGGGCTGGGGTGTTGATCTGTGAGTGCCTTGGGTGGGGCCTGGATGAGGCTGGTTGTCCTATTAGGAAATGTCTTTTGTGTGAAGTGTATCATTGGGCATGTGGAGGTATTATTGATATGAGAAAATGCTAAGTAACAGATTTGCTATCTGAAAAGGGATTTACTATCGGGGAAAGGGAGGAAGGAAGAGACTGAACATAAACTGTGCACCAATGGATGAGGATGAGGGGGCAGAGGGTGGGGTGGGAACCTGGTGGAGGGGGGAAGGAACGAGGAACCTGTGTAATAATATGAACAATAAAGATTGATTTAAAAAAATAATAAAATAAAATATATTAAAAAAAAAAAGATTACATGTTGATATGAAAATACATAATTACAATGGGATAGTTAAAGATGTCCTCAGGAAACAATAAAACAAAATAGCTATTAGCATTAAGAGTGCTTGGCAAACAGTTCATATTTAAGAAGTACAGAAACATTGATTATAGAGAAAAATGCACATAATTTTAATCCCATACAACTTAAGATACCTGACAACATTGAGAGATTAGGCTCAGCTCTGAGTGACAGCACACATCCAGCGTCTGCCTGAAATGAGGAAAGTGCCGATTCTCACATGGAAGGACTGGCTCAGAGCCCTCACTGCAGAGGGCAGCACAAGAACAAACTGTCACGGGGCTCCTTGGCACTGCACCATTGCAGCTGTCACAGTGGGATCTGAATCACATCAGTAGTAGATCCAACAGGACAAGATGATTACTAGTCAAATTAGACTTCATGCAAATGTAATCTAGAGAGCAGTGTGTACGCTTCTGAAAACAGACTCAACCATGACAGTCTACATTTGTTGCCTGGTGGACACCTATGGGCTTACAGGAAAAGCCAACCTACGCTGGATCTTTAATGTTGAATTCTGAACAACTGTAAAGCTTACACCCAACATCACAGGAAGTAATGCAGTAGCTGGCAGTTTTGGGGATATTCTTGGCTGGTAGGGTAAAGAGTGAGAAAAACAAACTAAAATATTTTCTTCTTAATGTGAACTCCATGGCACAATTCCCAGCCAAAAGCAACACAAAAACCAACCATGAAAATAATTCACATGGGAGTCTATAGTGAACTGTAAGCACAAATATATGGAAAATACTTATCTAAAATAACAGTGAATTTCAAATGTAATTTAAAAATTTTAAAAATACATATAGGTGTAGGGCCTTTTCATTCAAAACCTGTCAGGTCACGTTAGCTGGGTTGATCCCTCGTCAGGCACATGTGAAGAAGTTTCTCTCTCACACCGATATTTCTCTCTCTTCTCTGTCTCTCCCTTCCTCACATCAAAAAAAGTAATTTAAAAATTTAACAAAGAATGAGTATTGATAATATGTCAAGTTTATAGAACTTTTTTTTAATGCTATGAGTTTTGGGAAGTATATGACTTCATTTGTAACAGGCTTGTTTATATGTACCAGTCAGTTACACTAATAGGATTTCTTTTAAGTGCAATTCTCAAGCTACTTTGAAATTGTTAAAATTTTAAAATTAATTTTCATTGTGAAATATTCAGTGTACATTCTCACATGGTAGTGTAGGAATACTAGTGGCCCAGTCAACAAAATGTGTGCACATTAAAAGAGAATTAATTAGAGGAAATATCTTAATATTGCTATTTGTCCTTTATAATAGGAGTGTCAGAGATGAAAGAAAATTGGTAAAATATATATGAAAATCTCCCTCCTGTCAGAGTCTCAGGAATACCATGGGACCCAGAGTCAAGCTCTGCCGGGCAGGGAGAGCAGCCCGAAGAATGAGGGTTCGGCCTCAGGTCTTCTGGCCCCAGCATGAGGGCATGACAACCACTTGCCTATTAGCTTTTTATAATATAAGATGAGGCAACATGAAGGTTTTCCTACATTTTTACATTCAAGAGTTTTTTTCATGAGATTTCCAAGGAAAAGTGAAAGCTGAAGGCTTTCCTACCTTCTCTATACTATTTCTCCAGGGGCATTCTCACAAATCCAAGAAAGGCTCTTCCACAATCCTTATGTTCAACACTTAGTCTTGGGTGTGAGTCTCTTCATGATTTTGTAAAGAACTAGCATGGCTAAAAGCTCTTCTACCATCTTTACATTGACAGGGCTTCTCTTCAGTGAGTTCTTTCATTCTTTACAGTAAACTAGAAGAAATGAATGCTTTTTAATCCTCTTACTTTTCTAGGGTCCATCCTCAATATGGATAATCATACATGATGGCACAGCTGAGAGATAAATGAAGGCCCTTTGCTATTCTTTACATTGAGTGTTAACACATTTTGTTTCCACCTGTGCATAAAAACTAGTTGGAACCTGAAGGTTTACCACATTCTTTGCATTGATACGGTTCCTCTCCACTATGTGAATTTTTGTGAATGTGAAAGGATCTGGGATGACTATAGGCTTTCCCACTCATAGGGATGACAAAAAGGTTTAACTCATTCCTTATTCATGAGGTTGCTTTCCATCATGACTTATGTCTTTCAAGATGTGTAACACAACTGAAGGTCTTCCCACATTGCTTACATTAATAAGGTTTTACATTCATATGTCTTCTTCCATGCTTTCAAAGAGACTTGGAGAAACTGAAACCTTCACCACATTCCTTAACATTCATAAAGCTTTTTTTTCCACTGTGTGCACTTTCATGTCTGGGCATGTGCAGGAGGTAACCAATTGATGTTTTCCTTTAACATCAACATCGCTGTCTTTCTCTCTGACTTTCACTATCTATACAGAAAAATATCCTAAGGTGAGTATACACAAAAAAAGAATTCAGATAGTCAAAGGGTTTTCTACAATATTCACAGGATAGGGCTTATTTTCAGTGTGAGTTCTTTCATTCATTATGATTTCTCTCCACAAGGAAACTGGGGTGAATAAATGCTTTACTACATTGCTTAAGGTTTCCACCAGTATGAATACTGTCGTGAAGTTGGAAGTGATATAAATCATGGAATGTTTTACCATATTCCTTACATTCATAAGGGTTCTTTCCATCATGACCTCTTTTATGTTTCACAAGAGAACTGAGAGAACTGAAGGCTTTTCCACATTGCTCACATTCATGGGGTTTTTCCTTATTATGAGTTCTTTCATGACATTGGAGGGAAGTTGGATAAGAGAAAGCTTTACCACAATGGTTACATTTATAGGGTCTTTCCCCAGTATGCATTCTTTCATGAATTCTAAGGAAAGAGGGATAAAGAAAAGTTTTACCACATTCCTTACATTCATGAGGCTTCTTTCCATCATGATTTCTCTCATGTGTTACAAGAGAACTTGGATGACTGAAAAATTTCCCACACTGCTTACATTCATAGGATTTCTCCCCAGTATGTGTTCTTTCATGGTTTCGAAGATATCTGTAATATTTGAAAGCTTTCCCACATTGCTTACATTCATAGGGTTTCTCCATAGTATGCATTTTTTTATGATTTCTAAGATATTTGGAACATCTGAAAGCTTTCCCACATTGCTTACATTCATAGGATTTATCCACATTATGTATTTTTTCATGATTTCTAAGAGCTTTGGAAAAAATAAAAGTCTTACCACATTGTTGACATTTATATGGTTTTTCCCCAGAATGAGTTCTTTCATGATGTTGGAGGGAAGTTAAATGACAGAAACTTTTGCCACAATGCTTACATTTATTGGGTTTTTCTCCAGTATGAATTCTTTCATGATGTTGGAGGGCATTTAGAACAAAGAAAGCTTTCCCACATTGTTTACATTCATAGAGTTTTTCCTTATCATGAGTCCTTTTATGACTTCGGAGGGAAGATGGATAAGAGAAAGCTTTACCACAATGCTTACATTCATAACGTTTTTCCCCAGTATGAATACTTTCATGAAATCGGAGGAAATATCGGTCATAGAATGTTTTACCACATTCCTTACATTCATGAGGCTTCTTTCCGACATGACTTCTTTTATGTTTTCCAAGAGAGCTGGGAGAAATGAAGGCTTTCCCACATTCCTTACATTGATAGGGTTTTTCCCCAGTGTGCATTCTTTCATGATACTGAAGAGAAGTTGAATAAGAGAAACCTTTACCACAAACCTTACATTTATAGGGCTTATCCCCAGTATGAGTTCTTTCATGATCTTGGAGAGAAGACCGATAATAGAATCCTTTACCACAATGCTTACATTCATAGCGATTTACCCGAGTATGAGTTCTTTCATGACGTTGGAGGGCAGACAGAAAATAGAAAGCTTTGCCACAAGGTTTACATTTATAGGGTTGTTCGCCAGTATGAGTTCTTTCATGATTTCTAAGGGAACAGGGATGATGGAATGTTTTACCACATTCCTTGCATTCATGAGGCTTCTTTCCATCATGAATTCTTTTATGGTATCCAAGAGAACTGTACAGACTGAAGATTTTCCCACACTGCTTACATTTATAGGGTTTCTCCTCAGTGTGCATTCTTTCATGATTTCGAAGAGAAGAGGAAAATATGAAAGCTTTCCCACACTGCTTACATTTATAAGGCTTTTCTCCACATTGTGTCCGTTGATGCTCTCGATAAGACTTTGGACAACTGAAGGCTTTTCCACATTGCTTACAACCATAGGGTTTTTCCCCAGTATGAGTTCTTTTATGATTTTGGAGGGAAGTTGAATAAGAGAAAACTTTACCACAAAGCTTACATTCATAGAGTTTTTCTCCAGTATGCATTCTTTGATGAATTACAAGGGCATAGCGACGACGGAATGTTTTGCCACATTCCTTACATTCATGAGGCCTCTTTCCAGCATGACTTCTTTTATGTTTTCCAAGAGAGCTGAGCCAATTCAAGGTATTCTCACATTCATAATGTTTCTCACCAATATGTGCTCTTTCATGATTTCTAAAAGAAGTGGAACTGAAAACTTTTCCAGATTTCTGACATTGATAGGGATTTTCTGCAGTGTGTGTTCTTTCATTTTTTCCAGAGTACTTGGGAGACCTGAAAGCTTTGCCACATTGTTTACTTTGATATGGTTTCTCTCCGCTATGAGCATTTTTGTGAAGTTTAAAGTAAATGAGACGATTAAAGCTTTTTCCACATTGCTCACACTCATATGGTTTTCCAGCAACATGTGTTCTTTCATGATTTCCAAGGGAGGTTGAATAGTGGAAAGCTTTCCCACTGGGGCTACCTTCATGTCTTTGAATACGTTGATGATGCTTAAAAGCTTTCCCAGGTTTCTTACATTTATAAGGGTTTTCTTCATATTCCTGACACAGGTATAGGTTGGGTCCAATGTGAGAGCTCAGGTGATTATTCAAGGACAAATAGCGCATGAAGATTTGCCTACACAACCTGGAATTAGGTTGTTTTATTTCAGTAGCAGTTTTCTTTTCATTATGATTTGGAATCTGGCTGAAGTTTTCTCTGCATTGACCATCATCCTTCTTTGTAGAGAGTCTCGCTGCTATATGACTGCTGTAAAAATCAGAAGCATATGATTAATACTCTGTTAATGATTTAATATTTACTAATAGCATGACAATGGCATTTTTGCCAAAGGGTGGGGTTTTTTAACATTCCAATTTTTGAAAGTGAATATCCTAAAACTTCTGAAATAGGCTGGATCATAGATATTATGAAACAGTTCCATTCATGAATGGTATTGCTGTATATTGTTTTCAAGTGCAATTATTTTTATACATTAAACATCTAGGCCATATTTCAGAAAAAACTTTTGGATGAGATAATTCTAAGAACCAATATATTTAAAACTGGGCTGATACAATTGGATTACCTGTTTTTAAGATTCTTTTATAGACCAGGCCCTTATGACTCAGGGGTTCAGAATAGAGCCATGGCGGAAACCGGTTTGGCTCAGTGGATAGAGCATTGGCCTGCAGACTGAAAGGTCCCAGGTTCTATTCCATTCAAGGGGATGAACCTTGGTTGCGGGAACATCCCCAGTGGGGGGTGTGCAGGAGGCAGCTTATCGATGTCTCTCTCTCATTGATGTTTTTAACTCTCTAACCCTCTCCCTTCCTCTCTGTAAAAAAAAAATCAATAAATTAAAAGAAAAAAAAAAAGAACAGAGCCATGCAGTTCAATTCCCTAAAAGGGAACATGGCCAGACAGCAGACTTATTACACCCAGGATGGTGAATGCAGGAGGCAGTCAATTGATTTTTGTATCACTTGCTCTCATCCCCATGCTCTAAAATCAATAAAAACATATTTTTGCACTACCAGAGAGGAACACTGACCACTGAGCCAGAGTACATGCCCTGGTTCTTGATTCCGAATGAGGGGCATAGAGGAAGCAGCCATCAATAATTCTCTCTCATCATTGAAGTTTATTTCTCTTTCTCCCTCTTCCTAACTCTCTGAAGAAAAATCTTAAAAAATTAAACATACAAATAAATAAAATAAATATATAAAAATTTATTTTTAAAAAACCACAAAGATGCTCTTAATGCTTTGTCAAGTCAATGCGACTCACCTAAGATTCATCCCGTGATTTTCATACTGATCTTCACTGTCAAAGCCTTCACATTTTTTTTCTAAAATACATGCTAGAAAAAGCATTATAAATTATTAAATAATATTAAAAATAGTTAGGTTTTAGGTACACAATGAGCTGTTGTCATTCCTAATTTAATTTCTAATGTATTCCCTTTCCATATTTCAGTTCTTGAAACAGCATTGATGAGCAAGCAACACTAGATTTCTAATTGTCTAAATAAGTAACAAGTTGTTGCAGACCAGAGTCACTCTATAGTTGACCGTCAACCTATGAAATGGGAGGTCACAAGTCAATTCCAGTAGGACCGGTTTTACATCCCCAGTGTGTGGCTTGCAGGAGGTAGCCAATCAGTGATTCTCTTTCATCATTGATTTTTTTTCTCATTCTCTCCCTCTCATTTTTCTTTAAAATCAATAAAAATATATTTTTAAAAAAATTTATGATACCTACCTACTGATGCCAGGTTCCAGAAGGTTTCCAGCATCACATCTGTGTAGAGTTTCTTCTGGGTGGGATCCAGGAAAGCCCACTCCTCCATTGTGAACTCCACATTAACATCTTCAAAGGCTACTGAGTCCTAAAACATTCCACATATACATATAGGAGAATGGGTGAGACAAACAATACTGGGGACCTATACATAATTTATAGGAAGTTCACTTAGAACACATAGTCCCCAACAATTAAGTTTAATTGTAAGACTATTATTAATTTACCACATTCACATTCTCAAGAACACATGGAATATATTGATATGATTTTACTGTGATCACTTCAAGTCTTCATTGCTCTCTAATGTCAGGGTAAAGAACAGCTTGAACAACTTCTATATTAATACATCAAACTACTTCTATTTTAAGCCCATTGATTCCTTGTGCCCAAACTCATCACCATTATAACCACCATTTGATGCAGCCATCCATGCATCCATGAAACATACTGACATGTGTCCATAAAGTTTTAGTAACTGTGAATACAATAAAGGTTTTGTAGCTTTCTCTTCTATTCTCATCATCAAACAAGAGAGGCCAGGCGTTGTGGTTAAATTCAAATTAGAACAAAATGTACTTGGCCATACTGTCCTAAAGTACACCAGATTATTAGAAGTCATCAGATACACCTTAATGAATGAAAATATTCTCATGGAGGAGTATGGATGAACATTTGTTTTTATAATACTTGCTAGTAAATAAGTTTGACCTTCTTTTGCCTCTCTCATTTCATGGAGGTTAGAGTTAGAGCTCAGGCATGAGCAACACAGGACAACTTAGCCCTCTACAAAAGTCCTCTACTCGTAAGCCTGAAGGTTACTTCATAGTGATTTTTTAGGATACATGGACACGTATTTTGAAATTGTAAGATCACACTCAAAAGAAGTCTTTCCGGCAGAATTGTGACTATATCTGGGGCCTAGACCTTGGGAAACAATTTAAGACGAGACATGTCCAAGGGCCTTTATTCAAATCTTCACTATTTTCATGTTGAAAGCAATCTATAGCTTAAATGCAATTCGTATCAGGACACCCTTGATGAAACTCACATAACTGAACAAATATTGAAAACATTTTTCATAGACTTCAAAACACCCTGAATAGCAACAGCAATCTTGAGAATGAAGAAAAAATGTGGATGAATCACACTATCTAATATCCAACTGTACTACAAGGCCATAGCAATTAAAACAACTTGGTCCTGGCCTAAAAACAGCATATAAATCAGTGGAACGAATGGAACAGAGAGCCTGGATATAAGCCCATGCCTTTATGGTCATGGAATACTTGACAAAGGAGGCAAGAACACACAGTAATGTAAAGGTAGTATCCAAAAAATAAAAGGTTAATATGAAAATTGTTCCCAAGAGTTTGTTTTTGTGTGTGTTTTTTTAATATATTCTATTGATTTTTTTTTTTTTTTTACAGAGAGGAAGAGAAAGGGATAGAGAGTTAGAAACATTGATGAGAGAGAGTCATCGATCAGCTGCCTCTTGCACACCCACTTCTGGGGATGTGCCCACAACCAAGGTACATGCCCTTGACCGGAATCGAACCTGGGACCTTTCAGTCCACAGGCCGACACTCTATCCATTGAGCCAAACCAGTTTCGGCCCAAGAGTTTGATTGACCGGGAGTTCCACAACTTGCTGACCACCAGGTGGTGACACAAAACATGGCAGTTGTTAGTAAGGCGGCACTAGTAGTGGGTGGCAGTGGAGGTGAGCAGGACTGCTACAAGATGGTGCAGTAGGTAAGTGGGCGGTGCCAGAAAAAGGTAGCCATAAATGGGAACCCACAGGTCACCCCACAGATAGGGACGGTTGCTAACAATGGGGGGTGGTGTTGGTGAGCAGATGTTGCCGGGCCAATGCGGCTGGGAGAAGAGCCCCTCATGGCCTCGGTGGTTGCACCACAGATGGCAACAATATATAACCGCTTAAACAGTTGTGAAATGCAAATGGTGCCTCTGTTACAAGAAAACAAAGGGCTCTTTGCAGACTATTATAACTTACTAGAGGTCCAGTGCACAAAATTCATGCACTGTGGAAAGGGGTCTCTCAGCCTGGCTGCACTCTCTCACAGTTCGAGACCCCTCAAGGGATGTCTGCCTGCTGGCTAGTGTCTTCCGAAGGGTCCTTACCACTGCCACAGAGGCAAAAGAGGCTCCTACCACCACCACCACCACTGTGCTCTCCAGCCATGTGCCCAGCTTCTGACTGAATGGCGTTCCCCCTGTGGAAGTGCACTAACCACCAGGGGGCAGCTCCTTCATCAAGTATCTGCCCCCTGGTAGTCAGTGTGTATCATAGCAACCGGTTGTCCTATTCGGTTGATTTGCACATTAGCCTTTTATTATATATCGGGCCTAGTAATAATTAATGTCGTTTTTAAACATTCGTTTAAAATCTTGCTTGGCGTTGACTTGTATTGACATAACCTTCAAACACATGGTATCTACAGAACGTGTGAAGTGCAATTAACAAGTTTTGCTTGAAAAAGTTTGTGTTTGGTTTGGTTTTTGTTGCAAAACTAGGGCTAAGAAGATGGCGGATGAAGAGCTTATTCGGCACTGCATGCTTTACGAGTTCCAATTAGGAAGAAAAGCAAGTGAGGCTGCAAAAAACATCTGTAGTGCTCTTGGTCAAGATGCAGTTAGCGCCAGAAAATGCCAGCGTTGGTTTGAGAAATTTCACGAGGGAAATTTTTCGTTAGATGACAAGAGTGGTCGAGGCCGTGTGTCCAATTTTGATCAAGAAGCTCTTCAAGCTCTTTTGGTGCAAAATCCTCAAATTACCCAACAAGAGCTTGCGACAACTTTAAATTGTTCACAAAAAACAATTTCCAATCAATTGCGTGCACTTGGCAAAGTCCAAAAGTTTGGAAAATGGGTTCCTCATGAGTTGACCAACAACAACCGTAATCAAAGAGTCACAATTTGCAGTTCGCTCCTCTCTCGTCAAAACCGTTTGCCATTTTTAGAGCAAATTGTTACCAGAGATGAAGAATGGGTGCTGTATGTTAATTTGAAAAGGCGGCCTCAATGGTTGGACAAAAATGAGGCTCCACAGCCCACGCCAAAACCTGACTTGCATGCGAAAAAAGTGATGTTGTGTGTTTGGTGGAATTTTAAAGGAATTCTTCATTATGAACTTTTACCATCTAACCAAACCATTACAAGTGCAGTGTATAGTGCCCAATTGGAAAGGTTAGCCCAAGCTTTAAGAGAAAAAGAACCCACGCTGATTAATCGGAAGGGCGTAATTCTTCACCACAATAACGCACGACCGCATACTGCAAGAATCACTGCTGAAAAACTGCGCCAGTTGGAATGGGAAGTTCTCCCTCAACCTGCATATTCTCCTGATATTGCCCCTTCCGATTACCATTTGTTTCGTTCTTTGCAAAACTTTCTTCTTGGAAAAAAATTTAATAATGAAGAATGCCTCAAAAATGCATTGACCGAATTTTTTGCATCAAAATCACAAGAATTTTACAACAGAGGGATTAAAATGCTTCCTGAGCGTTGGGCACAAGTAGTAGAAAACAACGGCAACTATATTGTTGATTAAATTTTGTTGTATTGTTTAAATAAATTCAATTTAAAAAAAGTATTAGAAAACGACATTACTTATTACTAGACCTAATAGGATAACTCTTGGTTCCCTGATGGTGGAACATAATCCTTGATCTCTAGGAACAAGAAGGTAGGAATCTAAAGAGAAATCAGACCCAGGGAAAACAAGTGCCTTTGTCATCTTTAATTATGTGGAATCTTGTTTGAGCCGCACTATGTCACTTCATATTGAGGATCAAAAGCCTACAGGACACCAGGAGGATTTTCCCCGCCCTCTCCTCCTGAAGTAGAGCCTGTAAAGCCGGTGATATGGAAGGCCCCCGATCCTCGGCCTCCAGTGTGGGAAGACTCATCAACTAAATCCTCAGTTATGGGATCATGTGTCAGTCAAGCTATGTTAGAAGAGCCTTTGGCTTGCCCATTTATGCTACAGTAGATACATGAACCACTCTCCTTTAATACCTTTAAAGAAATAAGGAAATGTATGAGAGAAAATGGGACTGACAATCCATTTACAAAAGGACTCCTTACCCTAACCCATTGGCCTCAATGGATAGTGCGTTGACCTATGGAATCAAGGGTCCCAGGTTCAATTCTGGTAAAGGGCATGTACCTTGGTTGTGAGCACATCCCCAGTGGGGGGTGGGGGGGGGTGCAGGAGGCAGCTAATCGATGTTTCTCTCTCATTGATGTTTCTAACTATCTATCCCTCTCCCTTCCTCTCTGTAAAAAATCAATTAAAAACAAACAAACAAACAAAAAAAAACTACTGGTCCTCAATGTATCAATACAGTCATGAGCCACATAACCTATGGTCAACAACAGACTTCATATAGGATGGTAGTCCCATAAGAGTATAATGGATTTGGCATAAAAAAATAAATTACCTAGAAATATATTTAAGAAAGGAGTTAAAAGAACTGTATTCAGAAATTTATAAGACACTGAAGAAGAAATTGAAGAAGATACAAATAAATGGAACCAAATACCATGTTCATAAATAAGAAGGATTAACATAAATAAAATGTCCATACAACCCAAGGTGATCTATATATTCAGTGCATAGGAACTGACCAATCAAAACCAAAATTCCTATCAAAATACCAATGACGTTTGTCACAGGACTAGAACAAGTAATCCAACATTTCATATGAATCCACAAAAGACCCCAAATAGCCAAAGCTCTCTTGACAAAAAAGAATGAAGTCAGAGATATCACATTATCTGATATCAAACTACTAGAGGCCCAGTGCACAAAATTTGTGCAGAGGAGGGGTGTACCTCAGCCCAGCCTGCACCCTCTCCAATCTGGGACCCCTCAAGGGATGTCTGACTACCCTCCTACATCCAGGATTGCTGGCTCCAAACTGCTCACTTGCCTGCCTTCCTGATTGCCCCTAACTTCTTCTGTGTGCCAGCCTGATCACCTCCTAACCACTCCCATGCCAGCCTGATTGATATCCAACTGCTCCTCTGCCAGCCTGCTTGGCCCCAACTTCCCTCCTCTGC